AAACACAAGTGCTACATATTACAGGTTTGTATTGTATAAAAAAAATAGCACGTATAAATTATTTTTTCTTCGGTTAATATATCACAATGAAAGATCAGAATAGCATACCTACATATAAAAACAAACAAAATTACCAGTACTTCGAAAAGTGGCTTATCTTTAGAGGTTGGAATTACGGATGTAAGATCTGTGACGAATGTAATCATCATTCACATCTATATTGTAAAACGTGCAAAAAAGTAGCAGTTGGCATATATAAGCGATGTGAATGTGAAAATTCATTAGCGTAATAACTCCGAAATTTATCTGTATCACTTTGCAAGGCTTATCATGCATAACTTATTCAGGTGGTGTATAGTACATTTTCATATGAATATTATTATTTCAGCGACAAAATACTTATACAACATGAGTACAAAGATGTTAAACAATTTTAAAATGGAAGGTCATAGAAATTTCGCATGCATAATTTATTTGGTTATTGCAGAGTCCCAGAATGTCTTAAACTAAATTTGGTCAATAGATTATACCAATACAAATGTTCACTGTACCTCAATTCAAGTTGCGACCAGAGCATTTACCACATATATCATGAGTTTATTAACCAGTTTGGAACACTGTACGTAGTGCTTAATTTCTATATAAGGTTTAATAAAGTAGGTTTTTGTGTGTGGTTAGAAACCGACATATTTTTTTTTGATATACGTATTCTTAAAATAGTTTTTTGACATGTTTTTTTTTCGTGATAAATAGCCCGAGTAAATTAAGCACTAGCGAAAAAGGAGTGATGACGGTTTGGAATAAAAAGATAAGCAAGAAAAATGAACAGTTTTATTTTCAAACCTTTTAAAAGACGTATTAAAATAATGTATTCCTCCGAATTAGTTGCAGTTGAAGTTCTTATCGAACAATCGGCCTATATAAAAGGCTTAATATTGGAGGTGGATATTGTTGAGTTTCTTAAAAGTATTGGTCTTGAAGTTGAACATGTAGGGTGAGTTTTTCACTAAGTATTTGTTAAGTTAACATATATCTGAAGTTACGCTGTCCCACCGGTGTAAAATGTCTGAGAAGAATTGAAAGCTCCTCGTGGCGTATGTTTCGACATAGAACGTTCTTCTTCTTAGTTACTTGGTGTTCCTGCGGTCGTAATGCCTACACGGGGAATTAATGGATGAATAGGATATATGCTAACTAATGAGCACGTCACCGTAGACTATTCCGGCCGTGTGATATTTGGTTGTTAATAACGATGATACACATACTTACACATTATCATTTATAGGAGAAGAGGAGATGGCGGTGTTGATATAAGGTGCTGGATCAAAGGAAGACTAATTATTATCCAATGTAAAAATTGGACTAATAATATAGGTAATTAATGTATTAATTTTAGGAAATGCCTATTTATGCCATAGAAATTTACTATTGTCGCCTATTTATTACATAATTTTCAGCCACTAATTTTATTATAAAAATTGATTACAGGGCCGGAGACTGTTAGAGCTTTGAGAGGGGTTTTATGTTTGGAGGAAGAAGGTGCTATAGGTGTTGTTGTTGGAATTAATTTCTCAACAGGTGCTATAGATGAAGCAAAAAAATCAGATATTTATCCCATTATTTTAACAACAAAAGACCGCTTCTCCTCAACTTTGCTTAACCTTACTTTAGATATCATTAATAACGACCCCATAGATTTTTTCCTTTATAATAAATTTATTCTTTACCGTATACTTCCGGAATTAAGCTCCCCCCAAAAATAAGCACCCCTGACCTGCATTATGCCAATTTTGGCTTGCATTATTATGATCTTGGCCTGCATTACGTGCACGAAAAGGTGCTTAATTTCGGAAGTATATGGTACTATTAATTTTACTTGAGATATATTTTTTCTGTACATATTTTTATTTTATATATCAATAAAGTTGGTCCTGATGGCCGATTTCGCATACATAATCAGTTTACTTTTGCATGTGCATTTCGGGATTTATCTTATTGCATTGATATCTATGTCTTTTAACTCGCATATGATCAAGAATTTTTTTTGGTGAAGTGATAGAGCGTGAAATTTTTTCACGCAGACATTAGTCCACAGACAATAGTGTGTATCACGGGCTAGGTCCCGAACATTTGTATTTATTTTTTGCATGTATTAATAAAATTTTTCTTGGCAAAAAAAGTGATCAGCGTGAACAATTGCTCACGCGCATGATTATTTATTTTGAATAATTAGTGTATAAACAGTGTTATCAATCATGTCAAACGCTCAATCCATCGTTTCATTGAGAGAATTAAATGCGAAACTCTTAGCCGAGATTACAGAGCTTAGAAAAGAGAATACTGAGATTCCCAAACTTAGAGGGAAATTTGCTGAAGTTGAGGCTGAGAAAGTAGAACTAAGGCGGGAGCTTAAGGCTAGAACCGATGAGCTGGAGAAAACTATATCACATTATTCAGTCGAGATTAGCAAACTTAACGCCATAATAGTAGAGTTAGAGAAAAATAGGGCAGTTACCACTAAACTCGAATCTGAGAATGCCGAGTTTAGAGATAGAATAACGAAAGTGGAACAGAAACAGTTGCTAAATGATAATTCTTCTAACAACAGTTCATCTAACTTCAATTTGGTTGCAGATCAGGTACCCATGGTAACGCAACACGAGAAACCATTGGTGGATACTTCATTACCCGAAAAAACGATGCAAGAGGGGGCACCAGAGGTAATCGTATCAGCCGTTAATATACCTGTTATGGACCAATATCATTTGACATCCTCGGAAGACAAGGAAACAGATGTTTTCTTGGATGAGGTGCACAAGAAAAAGGTTAGTAATGAGATTAGGCAGAGGAAGCAGGAAAAAAAGCTTAGCCAATCGCATGTGCTTTCCCAGGACTCATCCTCAACTACTTCTGAATCGCTTCACCGTGAAGCAAACCTCTCCATGACTAACACTAAACATGCTCTCCCAGAACAGGTAGTCAAAGAATCGACTCCAAAGGAATCCTCCTTGGTTCATATGGAGCCCCAGAAGATAGAAGAGAAACAGGTTAATTTATCAGAGATCAAGGGGACGAAAATCCCCTATAATCAGAAAGTAGAACAAGATTTAATATGTGAATTACTTGAATTTATTACATGGCATGATTCCATATCCTTACCGAATTCTATATCTAGCAAACATATTCTAGATGTTCCAGTCGACGCCGACCCAACTCCAGGTTCTGTACCTCATTTAGCTCATTTATTCGACAAGGCTGAAAAAACCGGTCGGAAAGAAAAATTACGATGGTATTACTATAGTGAGGAATATGAAAAAAAGGTTGTAACCCTTAGTTCTGAAAATAATATTAGCGATCAAATGGCAAGAACGCAGATTTACGATGAAATGGAGCTGTATCTCCCCGGTAAAAAGAGAGAGTATTTGCGTAAGATGACACAAAAGGCTAAAAACATCTATACATTGTTCAAAGGAGTAGGAATAGATAAAATTGGAGTAGTTACATGTAGCGCTGATGCGATCTCTAGGCTAACTGATGCACAAATCCAGAATATAATAAATCTTTATACTGATGAACTAACCAAATCTCAAAAATTGATAGGCGTGAACAATTGTTCACGCGCACGTGATCTACCGGCTAAGTCTGGATCGAAAAAACCGCCAGATGTCGGAATAAGCACTCCTCAGACTTCAAAAACCAATCAGACTAATGTACGAGCCCAATCTAAGCCAACTTATGATCGATCTTATTTTCGTAGCAAAACATTGGATCAATATCCTAATTTATATCGAGAAGGTAGTGATGGAAATGACGATTATTATGGAATTACTGATGAATCTTTATGCCCGCTATGTAAGTTAGATCATGACGATGAAAATGGTATAGAAGGCAGATATGAAATTGGATATTATAATCTTAAATGTGAACAACGTGGAATTGAAATTGAGGTAACAGCATGAACTTTAAACTTATACTAGCACAATTCGCTTAAGTCTTCTGAGGCATA